CTCTTAATAAACGTTCACAGTAAATGGATTAAATGTACACCAACTAAGTGTTAAACCTCACAGTAGTATATTTTAGCATTAGTAGGTTGTCTTTTCCAGTTGTCAGTAGTTCAAGTAGAATGGTTCTCAAACCAGAGATATTAAGAAAAACCTCGGGAGAACGTTAAAATGCAGATTCAGAGGGCTAGCCACAGAGTTTCTGATTCAGTAAGTCTTGAAAAATATCTAGAAATCTGTATTTTCACATGTTTGATTTTGATTCTTGGAGCACAGAAAGCATCTTTAAGAGAAATATTACCTGAGTGCAATCAGATTGAGAAATGGTAGCGATACAAGATTCAGTCAGCGGAGGGGACAGTGGAAACGGACAGGAAGGAAGACCTTTAGAATGCAGCAGGATAACAGGAGCAAAATTTTGAGAAAGGCCGATTCTGGCCTCATGAAGTGTTATGTCAAATCTAGATCCTTTAAAAAAAATACACAAATAACGAATGGTTGGTCAACCGCTGTAGCAAAAAGCAGCATTTTACAGCATCTGATTTTTAAAAATTCTTTACGTGGATTCCTTTATTAATTAAAACCATTTGGAAGTAGGTAGAAAAGATTAATACTGGATCTGTTTTCTTGTGGATTTATTTATTTTTTTTAAGAAAAAGCTTTTCATTGGATTTTGTAGCATCATGGAGTGATAATGTAATGTAATTTAGCTTAATATCTATTTTGTGTTAGATGACAGTTTTATTAAGCAGAACCAATAATCATCGTTATTCAGAGTCATAACGACTCATTATAAATGGTCTCATTTTCCCTAATTTTAATTTTACCTCTTAGAGTATGCCTTTCTAGAATTGCTAAGATGGTTACACTTGGTTTCTTTTATAAATATAATTTTAACAATCACTATAGAAACATAAGTCATCTAGTAGTTAAGTACCACTAATCTATATAGTTGATACAAAACTATTTTAGTGTCTTGGTTTCTCTTAATTAAACTTTCAGACAAGCGCATTTCAGGAAATTAAATTACCGTCTTTTATGTGTTGGAGCCTTAAATTGAGACGAATAGCCTTTGCTTCCTGGTGCCACCTCTCTGACCCCTTCGTGTCTCAGGGTGGGGATTAACAGTGTGAGTAGACAAACGTGGGACTTGTCCCCAGCACCCTCCAGAATAACTGGATTCACGATCCTCTCTTTAATACTATCAACAAGCTAGGGTGGCTTTGTGTTTATCCAGCACTTTCGCATAACGTGAATAAATACGGGCAACAATCAGATTGTTTCCTGTCTCAACAGCTGTACTGAGAGATGAGAGTTTGGAGAGGGGAAGAGAATGAAGTTATTTAGGTCATAGACACGTCAAAGCAGAGAGAACATTAGAAGTTCCCCACTTTTAAGGCTGTTTTAAATAACATCAAATATCTATTCAGTGTTTCATAGTTTACAGAACATTTTCACTTGCATCCCTTTATATAGACCTGCACCCTTTCCCTCAGAGGAACATTATTATTATTCTAAATGTACAAGGAGGGGGCTAAGTTTCAGAGAAATTAACTCACACCCAAGCCAGTTACCTGGTTTGGGTGGAGGCAAAGCCTGTGCTCTTTCTAAGACATCAGAGTCTTGACAGTCAGAGCACATCCCAAAGGCTCTGGATGCCTGGGAACAGAGGCAGAAGGTCAGAGAAGTTCAAAAACTGGAGGGTGAAGGTCAGCTCAAATACAAACTTTACCAGCTTTGTATTATTGTCCAGGGACCAGCAGGTGACAATTGCTTAGAATTCAAGGAGAGTCAACTCCTTTCAGCTTCTGTCACGGGCACTATAGGTGGCTCCTGTTGCTTTTGAGTAATAATTCCATTTCATCTATACATGATTAAATATAACTTTCTTCTATAAAATTTGTGCCTGGGTGAATTAAGGATGTATTTCCAAGCATTCAAGGGCACTATGAAGACATCAGATCCATTTACGGATACAAATATGGATTAACCAATGATTCCAATATGTAATTTACTATTTTACTTTATATTATTTATTTATCTGTTCAATAAATAAACAGTGAATGCCAGAACTGCCTTATACACTAGATTCATAGAGAAAAAGATGCAGTCTATGACCTTGCAAAGCTCATACTCTGGTTAGGGAGAAAGGCACTGACAATACAACATGATAAGTAAGGTGGTAGAATTCATAGAAGGTCATGGGGTTGCAGAGCCTTTAAACCAAACATCCAACCATTTTTTGAAATGATTGTTTCACTATGATTCACTTACATATATGCACATCAATTATTTGAAAGTTTGCATGCATATATACATATATATATATGTAATAAATAGCTTTACTCTTTCTCAGTTCTACCTAATTTGTACATAAAATACTGTTCCCAAGTTTGTTCAAACAGAAAAACCTCTTGGAGAATGGTAAATTAGAATTACTTTGATCGGGCTTGGAGCGTATGGTTTAATACAATGTGTACTGGGCGATCTATATTTATAGGGGTCTTGATAAAGTATGCTGATAGTGGCATTTTAAAAAGTCTTGGCTAAATTAACGAAGGAAATGCCTTTATTTTTAGCCTAACAGATGTTTAGTTTCTGTGTTATAACCATCTCTTAAAACATTAGCATCACTGGAATGCTGTCACTACCCAGGCATTCTGCCAGTCTAGCAAAGTCTTTTAGATAAAATTACAATAACTGAGAAAATAGGGTATTTCTGTCAATGTGTCATGTGTCTATAAACCCTACAAATTATGGTAATCTGAAAATCTATTTTCTCCACTTGGGTGTTGGGAGTCAAATAGTTATATCCATTGGTTAGTACTCAAATAACACAGATTATATGAATTCTATCACATTGTTCGATTTTATTTATATTATCTTTATTTTAAATAAAAACATGATCAAGGAGTTAAGTCTTTGTGGTCATATTCTGAAGCTTTCCACTATCTTTGACCCTGGACCAGTTTTTTTTACCCCAAGATTTAGTTTCTTACCTAGAAAATGAAGCTAATACCACACAGTTCTATTGTTAGGACCAAGAGCAGCATGTAGGGAACTTGGGCAGCACATGGCCTACGGTGGTTTCCGAGTCAGAGGCAGTTCCTCTTTGTGCTTGGCTACAAAGCCTGCACTGGCCGATACCTCCTTACCACATTCCACCAGAGGCATTCAGTCAACGAAACGTGATGCTCCCCACTTACTTGTTTTGTGGGAACACCAGGCTCACCTGTCAGTGACTGGCCTAGCCCGTTTGAGCCAGCCACCCAAAACATTTCTTGGGTTGTGTTTTCCCACCAAGAAAGGCTGAGACATACACAGCATTTTCCTCTTATTTTCTCATAGTTAAATTAAGTGATGCTGGACATTCTCTTTATAATACGCAGGCTGAAGGCTGTACAGTAGGAGTTGGGGCTGTTCTCTGAAATTCATCAAGGTGTAACAACACCACTTTATTTTAAAATTTGGATTAAATGCAATTTCATTATTTGACACCATCTGGGTAGCTAAGCTTAGTTGTTCAGGACTCGGTGCTAATATGTCAGGTTAGGGTATTCAGTCTCCCCCATGCACTAATTACAATCTGGATTTTTGTTTTGTTTTGCTTTGCTTTGTTTTGTTCTAGGCTCTCTGACTGCAGCTGTAACTTCAACTTGCCAACGTGCACCATTGCTCACAAGAGGACCAGATGAGAGAGTGTGAGTGAATTTATTGCCAACCCTTTCTACTCTCCAAACAAAACAATTTTGTAGATTTGTTACTGATGCACCATAGCGCCATCTTCCTATACAAATGACACCACTTCATTATTTTCAGTGTAAATGGTAACAGAGATCGTGAAGAGACAGTACAAATTATCTTGAGCTATTGTCCTATTTATAGATTAAAGTACAATTATGCTTTCCGCTGATTTCCATTCTGACATCTTCGTTGACTGTGTTATTTGCTTCTTTTATGCTTATTCTCCCCTTAGATCTGGCGTGACTATTCTTTTCTTCAGTATTCTTTCCCTTGTTAGATTGTTTATTTTCTCTGAGCAGCAGAACACCTTTTTATTATTATTATGGTGAGAATGCTTAGTATTTACCTAATTACCCTCCAGAGAATACTGGAAGACAATGCAGTTGAACAAATGGATGAATACTGGAAAGGGATTACTGCATAATTATATTACTTCTGGAAGGCAGTGACTGTTTTCTTCTTACCTTCACATATTTTCACTCTGGTTACTATTTTTTGTTCATGACAGTTTTTCAAGCTTAGAGCGGATAATTTTTTCCTTCCTGTTTGAAAAAATATTCCAGGCATGTGCAAGTGCTCAGATCAATATTATCTATTAAAAAATTCATGAATTTCAGAACCAATTAATAGATTTGTTCATTTTTAGAACAAAAAAATTTTAATACAGTATTTATATGTTTATTGAGGCTTTCACTTCACATAAATTTAAAGAATTTCAAATCAGATTTTATCCCAATCCAATAATTGAGTAACTGATATAAATAAAAGAGCAGAAGCCCAATACAAATGGTCAGACAGAAAGAAATCTCCTTCATTTTAGTCAGTCAGTCAGTTCATCCATCATACATTATTGGGAGCCTAACTTTGTGCCAGGGATTTCTGTAAATACAAAATTGAAAAGACACAATAAGTCCCCTCCAACATCACATGCTCTGTTAAGAAAGACAGAGGATGTGGGTGTGAAAACAAAGTCACACCATTACAAAACAATCAGATCTGTCAGAAGTAGGTCAAGTCACTGAAAGACGGCCTCGCCCAATGGATGAACCAAACTGGGAGACAGTGTATGCTATTTCTGTTTCAGTTTGGAATGCATTCTGATGGTTGCCAAGGAAGTTGCCAACTTTTGTGTTGGACTGGCTGATCTTTAAGTTGCTTTAATTCCTTCTGTGCATATTATCTAGGAGTGGGACAAATGATAGAAGAAGAGGGGTGATAGGATAAAGGATCGTTTGGGATTAAACATTTGTGAAAGTGACAGTAATAATCCTTCAAAGAGTGGAATTCATTCCTGTAATGGAGAAGTGATTGCGAAATTAGGAACCTGCTCGTGGAAATTCAGTAGCATAAGCTCGACATTGAGAATCTGATTCACGGAGCTCTTACCATCTATTCACTTGTTCCTTTAGGGAAAATTTGACAATGATGTCTTGCAAATGTGTTGCCACTTTCAAAGCTTTTTGCAAAGTGGAAAGCAGTTCTGGCATTTTAAATAAATGTTCTCCAAATCTTCCCTGCCAGACATCTCATTAAGTAGGAAGCCTCAGTAGAGTAATACTGAAAAGCAATTTTAAATCGAAGTTTGATCCACAACATGGTGGTTTTTGTAAATAATGTTCTGGGAAGTCTTCTGCACTTTTTATGGATTTAATTCTTCTATTGGAGTTGTGTGCCTCTCCTTGTTTACTGTGACCAGGAGCATCACCCTGCCCCGCACCAGTCCTTTTCAAAGAGAATGGATTGTAAATAAATGTATGAAGTCATTCCATAATTTACAGATGACTGTTCAAGAAATAACAGTTTATGAAAGGATTATTTATTTAGTATGTCTGCATATAAATATTCTCTAAAACATTAAATGTCATGGTACTTTTTAATAATAGCATTATACCCTTCTTTTAAATACTATGTTACTATATTGTCTCTGCATAGGATGAGTTTGGAGACAAGTGACCAGGTCCAGTGTCACCAGATCTGGGGAGTTATGACCAATTTCAAAGGATTCTAAGGGAAGTCAGAGTCACTGTCTATGCCCTTGGATTTCCAGCCTGACCACAAGTGCAGAGGTACTTGATTAATATTTTTGAAGGCGTGAATAGCGTAACTTATCAATATTAGATCTTGCTGATACCTACTTATTTATTTTATAAATATGACTTTCAATGTGACTGATCGTCTCAGTCTAATATTCTTTGCTGAAACTGGACCGAAACAATCCTGTGCGGTGCTCCTAGCTGGACTGCTTTTGTTCTGGTCCACGTTCTCTTCCTGTCTTGGTTGGACTCCGGAAATGACCTTCTTAGTACTTGCTTGACGTAAGTCAAATGTCCCCACCCACTCTGTGTCTGACTTCGTTTCCAAAGTGACATTTCCAACACTCAGATCTGGTTATGTCACATTCACACTCAGGACTCTCCAGGGCCTGCCCTTCAAGTCTCAGTGAGTCCCAATTCCCGTGTTATTTTACCTAGACTTGATTCCAGGAGCATATGAAGAGTCCTGTCTTTTCATTTTCCTCCCTGAAGTGCTTCCACATATGATGTTCATTAAATGTTACTGAATAAAGACGGTATGACTGAATAGATGAAGGTGGCTATTGTAGTCCACTTGTGCTAAAATTTGGGCAGGAGAGTTAGTTCATAGAAGCTTTTGATGGAATTGTTTGAAAATGCAGGTGGATGCTTTAGGAAAGCTCTAAACCCATTGGCCTGTTGTTGAAAATGATCTGAGGTGTGTTTTTAAAATGAAGATTTCTGGAGTCAGAATTTCCAAAGGAAAACTTGAGAATCTTTTTTTTTTTTTTAATAATTGCTCTAATTGATTCTCATGTTCAGGCAGCTTTGGGAAAGTTAGTATCTGGAGACTAGATGGCTGCTCAATATGGGAAGTTGGGCTGTGTGACCCTGAATTTATTCCCTTCCATGAAGTTTGAGGAACCGTGATTCTGGTGGAGGTCCTAGCGTACACATGTGTAGATGCAGATAATTGACTTGAGATGTACCCAAATGCAGACAGGAGGAGCCTGGGGACGAGTGCTTGGGTCCAGTGTCATCAGATCTGGAGTTATGACCAATTTCAAAGGATTCTAAGGGAAGTCATTCTCTAGCCTGCTAGTCTGCTTATTCACTTAGTAACCATTTATTGAACACCTGCTATGTGCCAGGTGCAGTTCTCGGCGTTGGAGATACAGCAGTAACACACATAATCTCCGCACTCTGCGGTGATCCGTCCCATCTCACGACACTTGTCTTCAGAACTCTCCAGTTGAGAGCTGTTTTCATAGCCACTTGGCTCTTACGCAGACTGAAAATCATCATCCCCAAAGAGCCATCATTATCCTTGTTAAAAACAAGCGTCCAGGTTTTCTGGTCTGACTGAAAACGGAAAGTGTAACAGTTGGATCCATTTTATCAGGCACAGCGTCTCACCCAGTGAAACCCGTGTATGTCTTGACGAAGGAGTTCACTGTACGCCTGGGCTTTTAGTCTCTGACTACCTTGACATTTTAAGTAAAAATACATTGTATTTCTTATTTTTATCCTTTGAGCTGGCATTTTTCTGCCCGCCTTGATAACCCTACAAATATTTCAAGCTATAGAATCCAGATGGTGGGGAGGAAAGTAGGGAGAATAATTCTTACCTCACAGGCTGTGAAATTCAGTGAGTTGCAAAACAGTGTTACATTGACCAGCACTTAGTATCTATATGTTAAAATGACTGTGTCGTTTATCTGCAATTTAGAGGATGTTAAGAAACAGAGATCTGAGATAGCTAAGATGACTTGCAAATATGTATTTATGATAATGAAAGTGTTTTCAAACATTGACAACTTTTTAGTACACCTAATGTTTCTATGAAATGTGAGGAGTTTAAATGATGGCCTTGAGACAGGCCATGTTTTCTACTCTGCTATTTTTTAAAAATCCTGTGTGGTCGTCAAGACTTAGATTTCTTGGTATTTCATTTCTCTGTAGTAACATTAAAATTAAATTGCTACATTTTCACAAGGAAAATCTTTTAAAGGCAAAGTCTGCTAAATGAAATCTAAAGGCAATAAAAGACAGTATTGAAATAAGTTCTTAAAAATAGAACTCTGCACATACAAAAACTGAAAACAAAATAATAAGCATGAAGGTATTTGAGTTTTGTCCTTAGACAAAACAGTTTTATAGGTGTGGGTGCTTTGGAAAATGAATTTTCAACAAAAGCCAAGAATGACATGGTGATTATTGTGGCTGTATTTCCAAAGACCAGAAGAAATATCTTGGTCATTAAACGGGAATTAAGAAGCATGGACTCTTAGGTAGACAATACATCCACCAAAAAGCAAATGAACTACTTTCCTTTTGGAATTTCCCTGAAATTCCACTTGTGGTTGTAAATACAGAACAGGGAGAAAATGGTCTTTATTAGCAGTGGTCTACAAGTCCATTGAGTGGCGCAGTGGACTTATGAAAGTAGAAAACCAGGGTATCAGAATAAATATCCCTTTTGTTTTATTTATCAGAGGGAGGGAGATTTGTACTAATCACCATGCTGTAAGTATAAGAGAGTTAAAGCATTTAGTAGTTTCCTTTACAGTTCACATTTTCCCTGGGATCTTTTGAAGATGATTGCATCTAACACTATTTTAAAACACTAGTAGATTAAAAAGACAAGTTACCTCTCTTCCTTCCAGGGGTTTTATGAGCCTCACACTTATGTATTTATCATTGTAATTAGGGTAAGTCTCAACTCCACCACCAGCATCACCATCTACCATGGATACTGTGCAGCAGCGTTTCGTACATTTTCCCACATCCTAGCACTCATTGAAAGCAGTATTTGTACAGCACAACAGGGTGAAAAAGAGAAGCCGTCTTCCAGCAGAGACTGAAAGCTAGGGAAGGCCCCGGCCACAGGCCCAACCAGAAGCCCCGAGGGCTACAGGCATCCCTGTCCCGCCACACCCGCAGGCCATTGGCACAGGACAGGGTGTAGCAGGGCGCTACGTTCAATTTGGAAGAAATGATAACATTAAAAAGACAACATGTTCAAGGAGGGCAGGGTATAGCTCAGTGGAGAGTGCCTGCTTAGCATGCAGACCGTCCCGGGCTTAAGTACCTCCATCAAGAAATACATAAATAACCTAATTACGTCCTCCCGTAAAAAGATATTAAAAAAAATAGAAGA